CCATGCCCTGAGTGCAAGTGTTCCTCAAAGTTCCTGCCACTGGGGTATGATAAAATGTAAAACTTCACATTATTTAACAGTGCATCAATCTTCCATTAAAAGAAACTGAGGCCACAGTTCAACGTATACAGTAGATGCCTGGATTCTATTGGAGTAAATAGGTTTTATTTTTAACTAGGCTAGCACAGACTGATATTGTTAAAGTCTTCTGATTTCCCCCACACCACCTTCCTGCCCCATATTTTCTCAGAGATCGCTTAGCTACTGTTTTACGGCCAAGTGGAAGGCAAAATTTATTTTACATATTTAATAGCAGAGTCCAGAATAAATACAGGGACTGTTGTCAAATTGAGCATAGCTATATTTTTTAAATTACATAACAGCTTCAGTACTTTGTTAAGATGGGGGAGGTGACTGGACATACACAGAGATTATTATTTTAGAAGTAAAATTGCTGCTTTACAGAAAGGGAGGAAAAAGTCAGAAAAATTAATTTGGAAAATTTATTAGAACATGTGCACAATTCGTCAGAATCATAATTGCACAGTGCTAAGGTTGTCCCACTTAAGTCAAATGAGTCTTGCAGTAATATACATCTTACAAGCATTCTTCAAAATAACGTATTTTATTGCTACAATTAACTCTGCTTTCAAATATCAGACTAGAACACAGATAAACAGGGCACTTGTATGAGCTCTTTAAACTCAGACTTTAATTATACAGTCTAAGACTACTGGATTTGGGCTGCAAATATCCAATAAGTGCTAAATGGCAACAGCGAAATATAGAAAAATATTAACTCACTGTTGCATCTAGCAGTTCCTTGGATTTTTGCAGGGGCAGAATACATAAAGTTAATAAAATGAATCAAATCCCCTAGCCCTTTGCCTTTCTTTGGCTCTTCTGCTGCTTTTGAAATGATAAGTAATCTTTGTGCTTGAAAATTAATTTGTATGGGTCTTTAAACACCTGAACATATTTAATAGGTTTTGAGAACATACACATGTTTTCTAAAGCAAAGCTTGAAAAGAAAAAAAAATCCAAGAGAGCCTTAGAAAAACATAGACACCTTGGAATACATTAACCTTCTAATTATTTAGATGTTTTTTATTATTGCCATTATTAGATCCTCAGTGGCGCAGTGATTAGAGTGCAGTACTACCGTGTTTCTCATATAATAAGGCCGGGTCTTATTTTTTTTTGATCCCCGAAAAAATGGCTAGGACGTCTTTTCGGGGGTGAATTAATTTATTCCCCCCCCCCCACATGCACCCTCGCCTAGGGTGCCCCGCCAGCAGCTATGCCTCACTACCAGCCACTCCTAATGGCCAATCATGGTGGAGCGCGGAGGGCTCCCTTACCCCCACCAAGCGCCTTTGCTGCAGACCTGAGTCAGCGAGCGGGTGGGGATGTCCGCCGGCAGCGTTTCAGCTGCTTCTCAGGACTCCATAGCTTCCAGGGTTCCTGCTGGTGCTGGCTGAGCTGCAGCTGTCCCTCTCTTCCCAGCGCTGTCTCCAACAACAGCGGCAGCAGCGGCGGGAACCGTAGAAGCGTTTCAGATGCTACTTGGGTGGGGGAGCTGCCTCCGTAACTTCCACAGTTCCCGCCGCTGCTGCTGCTGTTGTTGGAGACGGCGCTGGTGAGAGAGGGACAGCTGCAGCTTGGCCTGGGCGCGCTTGGAATGCAGGAACGGGCTGCGCACTGGGACTTTTGGAAACTTGCAGAGCCTGAGGCTGGAGCACCAAGGGTAGCAGCAGCAGAGACGCTCGCTCAGCTCTTCTCATGCCCACCCAGCCGCTCGGGATTAAAAACGCAGCGCACGGTGCTCCCAGGTACCTCAAAATGTTTTTTTCCTGTTGTTACAGGGATGGGGGAAAAGCGGGAGCAACTCAAATGCTGTTATTGGAGACGGTGTTGGCAAGAGAGGCGCCAGCACTGGTGGGAACCATTGCCGGTGGACATCCACGCCGACGCCACCCGCCTGCTGACCCGGGTCTGCAGCAAAGGCGCTTGGTGGGGGTAAGGGAGCCCTCTGCACTCCACCATGATTGGCTGTTAGGGGAGGCTGATGGCGAGGCGTAGCGCCCATGGGGCACTCCTAATGGCAAGTTCCCCCCCTGCCTCCCCCCCCGAATTTTGCATGTTTTAAAATAGGCCTAGATTTGGGGGGAGGGGCTTAGTTTCATTTTATGCCTAGAAAACATGCTGGGTCTTCCTATTGGGGGGCGTATTGTTGGAGAAACACAGTACAAGCTACTTATGCTGCAGCCAGTTGCCTGCAATTTGGCAGTTCGAATCTCACCAGACTCAAGATTGACTCAGCCTTCCATCCTTTCAAAGTGGGTAAAATGAGGATTGTTGGGGGCAATATGCTGATTCTGTAAACCGCATAGAGAGGGCTGTAAAGCACTATAAAGCAGTATATAAGTCTAAGTGCTATTGCTATTATTATATAACGCAAGGCAACGAACATACCTAATATCCCTTCTTCCTATTTTTCCCACAAGAACCCTGTGAGGTAGGTTAGGCTGAGACAGTGACTACCCCAAAGTCACACAGCAGACTTTCATATCTAAGGTGGCACTAGAACTCCCAATTTCCTAGTTTCTAATCTGGTACCTTAACCACTAGACCAAACAAGTAATCCTGATGATCACTATTGAGCCCAAAATTTCCTTTGTTAATCAAGACAGTTGGTAAAGCAAGTTTTGCCCCCATTATATGACCTTTCTTGTCATAATTGTTAAGTGAATCACTGCAGTTGTTAAGTTAGTAACCAGGTTGTTAAGTGAATCTGGCTTCCCCATTGACTTTGCTTGGCAGAGGGTGGCAAAAGGAGATCATATGACCAAGAAACACTACAACTATCAATAAATAGCTGCCACTTACTAAGTGTCTGAATTTTGATCATGTGACCATGGGGAGGCTCTATTGCTCATTAGTATAGAAAACCATCATAAGTCACTTTTTTCAGTGCTGTTATAACTTTGAATGGTCACTAAACAAATGATTGTGAGTTGAGGACTACCTGTATTCTGATTATAACCATTTTCAATTTTTTAAAAAATGAAAATCTTAGAAGAAGGCAGATGGGAAAATGCCAAATGGCTATAAATATAGCATTCTCACCAAGCAGCAATCTACAGATGTAAACCCTATGTAGGGTATCAATTGAAGAGATCAATCAAGAGACTTATACAAGGTAAAAAAAGGTAAAGGAGGGCCTGCAGATGTTACTCCACTAATTGCCGGCTGTACAGGGCAGTGCTCACTTGGGTCTTGAATCTTAGCTGCCCGCTTTCCACCTGAGAAGTCCAGCATCTTAACCACTGAGCCACCATATTACCCATCTAGGGATCTATAAAAAGATATAATTTGTATAAGATGTTTTACAGGTGGCATTTTCCCCCGACAAGAATAGCAAGAATGTTCAAGAACAAATGCGAAAAATGTTGGAAATGTCATGATACCTGGATCATATTACCATATGTGGTGGACCTGTGCGGACGCTAGAAAATACTGGACTAAAATCCACATGTGGTTGGAAAAAATGACAAAAAAACATATAGATTTGAAACCAGAGATATTTTTATTGGGAATTTTACCTGATACATATAGCAAAGATTTGAAATATCTGATTGTAAATATATTAACAGCGGCTAGGATAGTATTTGCTAAAAACTGGAAAAATGAGAAAATACCATCGCAGGAGGAAATCATTAAGAAAATATTGGAATGAGCTGAAATGAGTAGATTGACATTTGAAATTAGAGAACAAGAGGATAAACAATTTTATAAAATTTGGGATCTTTTCTATCAATGGTTAGACAATAAAATACAATAATGAAATATGTAGAATCTTAGAAAATAATAAATATATAAAGATGTATTTTTTTGCTTTTTTATTATATCTATAAAAATTTTGTAGGATAGATGTGGGAGGATTATATGAATTGTTACAAAATAATACTAAGTAAATTATAGTTATCTCGTAAAATATGAATGAGTAAAATTATTGTCAAATGATTGATTAATAATGATACTAGGGTATTCAATTTCTGATTGATAATATGAGCTATTATGCAATGTAACTGTAATTGAAGACTATGAAATGGATGCACAAAAAAATTTGTAAACCAACCGGCACACTGCTTGTATACTTATGGAAGAAAGGTTGATGTTTTTATGTTTTGTTTGTTTATGTTTGTCTTTAAAAATCAATAAAAAATTTACAAAAAAAAAAGATATAAACAAATACCCAACACTAGTGCATCACCTCAAGTCACAGCAACACTATACCTGTCAAACAGGACTCAACCATCACCTAGATAAACTAAAGACATCTCCTATCTCTACCTAAGAATCCCACACCAGCAACACAATGAGGACAGAAAAAGAATATGCTCCTACTACTTTTGTAGTAAGTATCACACTACTATACTTCAAAACTAGTCCGCTGCTGATGTTATCTAGTTGGGGCAGCAAACGTCTACAATCCAAAGTTGGAGGATTGCAATTATGTGACACGTCCAACCCAAGTGACATGTATTCATTACCATCACAACCTGATCTTAATTGGTTTATCAGGTGATAATTTTGTTCCTTTAGTGCAGGATTCTTGCAATAAACCTTAAAAAGATAGAAGATATGGTACACATACTGGATTGTGCTATATAATATTTCTTATTGTTCTTATGGTTCCTGGAAAGTCATCTCCAAACAAGATCATAGTATTGAGAATACTGGCAACTATCAGTATTAAGACATCTTTTCCAGCTACGCTACATCGGAGCCTGTCCCTCCCTTATACGAGTGTGAAAGATAACAAACTTTGCTGCATAATTCTTTATTCTGCAAGGAGACTGCAATCATGCAAGTGAATACAGCAGGGACTGTGAATACTTTATTGTAATACACAAAAAGGAATTTGTTGAAATAAGCAGATATTTTATAAAATTAGTACCCTTATTAGGGTAATTGTTGCCTCAGAAAGAATTCGCTTTCATTCCAAAAAAGATGGTTTATTGAAATACAGCTACACTGTTGGTGTTACTCATGAACAGAAGATAGATTCTAGAACTGGTCTGTGACATCTTTGATATCCGACTTTGTTACAAGAGGAAGACTTGAATATCTTGCTAATTCTCAAGCTTTAGTGGGGATTTTCAATTCCCAGCTGCCCCTTTTAATACCAGACTCATTTACATTAGAAGAATCCAGAGAATCTTTATCCGCTTCCCCTTCATCTCAACAGCCTCTTTCTCTTCTTCCTTCCTTGTTTGCTGTCTGCCTCTGCAGGACTGTCCGGAGGATCTGGCATTACGAAACCGTCCGTCAATTTATAGTAGACAATTGTAGAGTCTGTTTCAACTATTGCCAGGGTGATAGAAAGTGGGGAATCAGGTTTCGCCTGCATTGTGCCTGTGCTCTTCATGATCTGTCTTAATCTGCAAAAAATGGAAGTAAGGAACAAAAGTCATCGCTGATGCCCATCTCATTTAAATCTCACCTGAAAACAATCTGGCTTGTGCCCTGAATTAATGATGCCCACCCTTTGTTTTTAAAAGCTTTGTGATTCCCCCCCCCAAAGGACTGCATCAATTGTAATGAAGACCTGCCAGAAAGCAAAGTTGACAATACTTATGCACCCCAAATTCTAGAGACATTAAGGAGTTCCACACTAACCAACCGAAATCTACAACAAATCGTATTGTGCCAAAATGGCATAATACGAATGCTGCCACTATATACTGCCATCCTGACACCTGATGCAAGGGTATAGGTTGTGCAGTTTGCCTGATGACCTTGTCAGATACTGTATGTCATCATTTGGCTCCCTCCTGTGAAAACCTGCGCCAATGCTTCTTGATACAGTTGCATTGTCAACGGCCATTGACTAATGACAGCTCTGAAGGTAAGAAATCAGGGTGGATCAGACCATGAAATGGTTGCTCTAAATGCCAATAGCAGGTAATGAATAACATGGAAGGTGCATCTTTATGATACTTGTTTGGTTTTCTGGAAAGAACTGGTTGTCTGTTTTCAGCCAAAAAAACCTGGAGAACAGAGTTTCTTTATTTGAGAGAACAGTGCTCTTCATATATTATTTTGCTTCAGTCTATTAAGCCAATAAGAGGTAACCAATAGATCATCAGCACACTCCATTCCAGAACCATTAGAAGCCTAAGTGACACTACCATGAAGTAGCAAAATTTGGTAAGCCCAATGAAAACTTGGGAAAGGTCTAACCCATCCTCTCCCCAGCAACCCCAAACCCCACAATTGAGCACAAAGAACTCTTTCCTGCTGCCATTAATAGTGGGTGTTCAACCTGATTTTAGATCCCTAACATCATCTCTTTGTGTTTTGAACTAACACGAGCACGTATGGTCTGAATCAAATCAGAAGCCCTGTGTATAGGAAATGAAATATTTCCTCTTCCTGCCCCTGTTTTTCATCATCTAAATCTTTTATGTTCATAGTAATTAAAAGTCATGAAAAAGCCCACATGAGGGAAATTTCCTCAGGAAAGAAATTAATTTGCAGTCCTAAAGGTGCTTTTTCAAAAGGCAACTGGACTTTCTGGCTTTTCTTTGAAGATGTTTTGCTTCTCGTCCAAGAAGCTTCCAAGAAGCTTGGACTAAAAATCTCCATAGACATTTAATTAATTGGGAGGGTTTTTTTTTTTGGTTTTTTTTTGTACACAGTGATTTTAACCCAGAATGACAAAAAACTTTCTTCAAACATTATAAGAAATGAAAAAACAAGTTCTGGTCTTAGTATAAAGGTGCTATTTTAGGGTTCTTCCGGTTTGCAAGCTTTCGGCGGCGGCAGGGATTCGCGACTGCGCGATCCCTGCTGCGTTCGTCGCCAAGGTTCCCCCGATCCATTTGGATCTGGGGGATATAGCTGCCCCGTAGAGGCAGCTGAAGACAGGGGGGATCCGGCAAGGGGTTTGGGGGTGCCGCAAACCCCCTCCCCAGTCGGCTAAACCCCCTTTTCCCGAGGTGGAGGAACGGCGGTCAGCAATGGCCGCCATGAAGAAAGCTGCAGCCGGGAAAGCAGGTGCAGGAGGGAGAAAGCTGGAAGAACAGTGAAAGTTGCTTCTAACCGGGACAAGACGGGAGAAAGTGACCTGGAACCTTGAAGGCTGCTAAGTATATATTATTCCTTGTGAGAGTTACAAGCTGCGAATACTCTAAAGGGGAAAGTTTTTTCTTTGTTCTACTTTCCTTCCTAAAGTGACAGCAGGAAAAAAAAAAGAAACCTTTTTGGCTGTGAGTGGGAAGGGAGAGTGAAAAAAATTAGAGCAAAATTTGAAAATAAGGAGAAGATTGCCTAGAATTGCAAAGAGTTGTTAAACATTAAAAAACTTCCAAAAATATATATTTGAAAAGGATTTGTGATTACTTTAACCCCAGAAAGAGAAAGTGAAGAAGAAGAAGGTATCTAAAAGAAATAGTCTGTTTGGATTGTTTGGTGATTTTGGAACCTTTGGAAATTACTTCTGATTAAAACATCTGGGTGGTTGTTTGGAAAAACTTTTTCTCTACACAATGGCATCATCTATGGATGGATTGAAACTTATATATCAAAAATATGAAAGAGAAAAACAAGGATGGGAAGATGGTCTTGGCACTATTTTTCAATACTTAGAAATGGCGGTTTATACTTATGTGAAGCAGAATGAGGATGATGGGGACAAAGAAGAAGAAGAAGCCATCTTTGATGAACAAATGACTTTGATTGGAGAAGGGAAAAAGCAAGAGAAAAAGGAAAAAAGGTCTTTAAGATCTGGAAAAACAGCCCAAAAAGAGAAGAATAAGGTGAAAAGAGGACATTATGTTAAGAAACAACAGAAAGGGGGAAAGCAGAATAAAAGGGAGGTGGAGAGACAAGGGGTTAAAGAGGATAAGGAGAAGAAGCAAGAGAGAAAGGAAGGGATGAGAAGTCCTAATGGTGGGGAGCAAGATGTTAAGAAGCAAAAGTTTTTTAGAGATAATGGATAAATCTTATTGTTAAAGGGATTCTAGAAAGGTACATAAGACTGCATTTTTATACCTGTATTTAGAAGTAATCATAGAAAATTAGAAATAATATGTAACTTAAAATGTGATAAAATACTTAACATAAATTAGTGAAATTTTTGGTTAAGAAAAAGGGAGTACTGTAATGAAACATGATTCAAGATTGTGATGTGTGTGTGTGGGGGGGTAATAATCTTTGGAAAGCATAAGTGTTCCCACAAAGGCATGATATTTAATTGAAATGGATAAAATGTTTAAGATATAAATGATTGTTAATATTAATGATTAGAATATGGTATACTAGTGAAATTTTTTGTGAAATGAGATTTGAAGTAGAAGAAGGAGGAACATTTTAATGAAATATTGAGCTATAATATGTGATGTGGGGGGGAATAATTATGGAAAATAGGGCTCCCATAAAAGTATGTGATTTAATTGAAAAGCAATGAGTTAAACGTTTAAGATATGAATATCAATACTAATGAATAGATTTGTATTATTTTTGATAATATAGTATAATTTTATAATGTACCAGACAGAATCCCAATGTATGTCATGTGTTTTATATTAAGTATTATAAATATAGGGGAAAGAGATAAAGGCATCATACTCCATATAGTGTACAGGAGAAGTATTTCTTCTTTTTTTAAAGAAGAAAAATAAATGGTTGGCTGGAGTAGAACAGACAAAGAATAATAAATATTATGATACAAATTGAGAGGAGATAAATAAAATAAAATAAAATTGAGAAAATTTAAAGGAGAGGAGAAGTCATATAGAAAATTGAAAATGTTAATAAGATATGAAATGGTATGTAAAATGAATATGAATTTGAATTTGTGTCTGTACCAAGAGTTTTAACCCGGGACTAAGCAACTTTCAGAAAAGAGATTTTTTATGCCTTTATGTTTTGTGTTTATATGTATTTATGTATTGTTTGTCTTGAAAATAAAACTTGTTTAAAAAAAAAAGGTGCTATTTCATTCACACATAACAGTGTTGTATTAACCTCTTTCACTTCATATCGATTATTTGTTCCTCTTAATCATTCCAGTAAACTTGTACATTGCAGATCTCAAAAGCTGAGGTGGGTATTTAGAAAGGGATGAACAGGCAGCAATGACAAACCACTTACATGCTATCCAGAGAAGTTGCATGGATGTGACCATGAGGTCACAAAGTCAATTTACCCTGGGACATTCCCATCAAATTCTGCAAAGTTTTTAGTTTAGGGGGGGAAAACCTGTAAACCTCTGCATTTTGGCTGAACTGTGATGCCCAACGGTCCTTCACTATTGGCCATACCCCCTGGTGTCCAGTGTCAGTGTCAGAAATCAAATCTATCATTCAATCTCCAAAATGGAAAGAATCAGCTCATTCCCTTACAGATCATCTTTGACTCATAACCATCCATTTAGTAACCAAGTTACAAAGGCACTGAAAAAGTGACTTATGACTGTTTTTCACACTTGCAACCACTGCAGCGTTCCTGGGATCAAAATGGTCATAGGTCACATGATCAAAATTCAGCCGCTTGTCAGCTGGCCCGTATTTATGATGGTTGCAGTGTCCCAGGCTCATGTACTCCCCTTTTGAGACCTTCTGACAAGCAAAGTCAACGAGGAAGCCTGATTCGCTTTACAACTATGTAACTAACAACTGCAGGGATTGATTTAACAACTGTGGCAAGAGAGGTCATAAAATGGGGCAAAACTCCCTAATGAATGTCTCCCTTAGCAACAGAAATTTTGAGCTCGATTGTGATGTATTTTCCATCCTTTCCCATTTTCACCAAGACTTATTCACAAAAGCCAGCTGCAGTCATATAGTCATGAGTGTTCCCTTCTGAATTCTTAACTTCACTGCCCCATTCTATGCCCCATGTGATGACCCAAGGTGGGATACAAAATAAACACAGTGACAAAAACAGGTGAAGCCCCTTTTATTCCTTCACTTTGCTTCAAAGCTCCAAATATCCTTGACTGGAGACAAAAAAACTCCCCCACAAGCAGTTACAAAAAGGAGGAAAAACGCCTATAAATTATAAAGAGAAAAAAACAACACAAACCACACTGAAGCAATTAAGGGAACCAGGCAAGATAAGGGCTTGAAGATGTCCACAGATATCAGAACACACACTGGGAAGGATGCCAAACTCAGAGAAGAACCAGAGACTAGAGATAATTCCATGCTTTGTTTCCAGCGCTGGCCCATACGCATGTCTGTCCTTTTAACCAGTTCTCACAGCTCTCAGCCCATGAAAATGATCAAGGCCCTTTCCTCCCCCGTAGACCACGCCATTCACGTCTCTCCCTTATCCTCTCCTCCCTGCGTGCCCTAGGATGGAGAGGGGATGGGCCTGGGTCTTCCTCTGACTGCCCAGCCGGCCTCTGCCCTTCTCCAGCCTCCTCCACAACCTCTGGAGCCACACTTCCACTCCCTGACGGCTATTCCTCCTCTCCCTCCTCTCCCTCGGAGTCAATCTCCAACAGGGGCATGACATCCCACCGCAGTTATTTAAATGCAGGCATATTCTGTTTTTAAACTGGGACCAAATTAAAAAATATATATCCAAAAACCAAAACAGGCAGTCAGTATCAAAGATGTCATTGTTATTTCACCTGAAACAGGAATATGCGAGGTGACTGTCTACATACTACTCTCTGCTGGTTATGATTTATGTGAATATCCTATAAGGGAAGTTATCTCTAGCACTAAGGAAGTCAGCATTTCTGACGCCCTTGGGCATCACTGCTGGGGCGGAATTCATTCTACAAAGGTTATTTGTGAAAGGAACAAAGAAAGGAATCAGACTGTGAAGCTCTTTATCTGTAAATACACTGAAAGCATTGTGTGGCGCATCTGCCATGAATGGGGATTTTGACAAGCTCTGTGGTGAACCAGCAGAACAATGCAGATGGGGAAGCAGATTTTCTACTTGAAAAGCTTTGTAGGGCCAAAAATGAACGTCCCAGTGGGAAAAAGGGAAATGGGATACATATTTCCACATTACCTGCATCTTCAATTATTTCATGAATTTATTATTAAATGAACATCATTAGTAGATTTATGAGAAAATGTTAACATTATTGACGTTAAGAGGCGTTCCTATCAAACTACATATATATATATATATATATATATATATATATATATATATATATATACACACACACACACATACACACACACACACATACATATATTAGAATAATGTTATGTTGAATTATGTTCTAAAACCCAGAAATTTGATTGCTTTTAGGGATCGTTGGTTGTATTAAATATGGGAAATTACCTCAGTACCCATGCTTCACTACGAAACTATGTAATCGGGCTTAGTTTTTGGGGAGGAAAATAAGGGGGGGGAAATTGTGCCTCTGCCAACCAGCATCCATCGGTATTCATTTGATTAGCGTCCTGTCAGTGAGAGTTGAGGGCTGTTTGGAAACTGAAACAGTATTTGCTATGTGAGCAAGGAGACAGCAAGGAGCCTGGGCGTGGCTTAGTTCAACTGTTCTGTACTAAAGCTGGTTGCTGTTGTGAAACTAAAACTGAAACTGAAGCTCCTCTACTCTGCTTGTTTTTGCATTTGGAAAAGATTTCTCTTCAGCGGGGGAGGGGGAGTAGAACTAGTAGAGCGTATTAATAATAATATACAAAATACTAATGCTCTGATGGTCATTTCAAAAAATCCTTTCCTAGTGAGCACCTAGAAGCCAAGAGGAACATACGTGTCAAATTTCAAGTTCGTAGGCTTTACAGTTCTGAAGATTTTGTGATGATGTGTGAGTGGTATTTCGCTTTTATATATATAGATTACTAAGAGAATAATTTCGTAAAATGGGAAAAGCACTATTATTCTACATATTAAGAACTGGATGTATACTCTCCCCATTTCTGAAAAGGCATTTTTTAAAAAATAATAATAAATGATTGTTTCTCTTTGGCACAGGTTTCATGATATTTTACAACAATGTTTATTTCTTTTTAATCTGAAATATGGTTGCAAATATGTTTTAATTAGTTGGGGATATTTTTGTATTTTAAAAAACTTCTCACACTAATTTGAAGATCAGTTCCAATTGCTTTGGATCGGGGTGGGATGCTACCGGTTCGGCCCGGTTCTATAGAACCGGTAGCTCTGAAGAGCAGCAGACACTGGAACAGTTCAGTGTCTGCTGCTCTGTTTGGACCATCCACCTGCCCAGGCTCTTGGCTGTCCTTTATTTCCTGCTTTTTCAATCTCAACTGCTTTGCACGGCACAGCTGAGGTTGAAAAAGCAGGAAAGAAGAGAAGTTTGAAATGCTGCACACCTGTGCGCAGCACTTGTCAGCTGTCCGGGCAGCACAGCTGAGGTTTTTGGAAATGGTCTATACACACGTGCAAAAGGCACTCTCACTAGGGGTGGGATTCTATCTACTGGCAAATCACGTCACTGGCTGGCCCCGCCCTGCCCACTCACTCCTTACCTGGCATGCACGCCATCCAACTTGCCTGCTAAATTGCTATTTTTCCTTTTTGTTTTTTTACCCCGACCATCAGCTGTTCTGCTGTGCCGGGAGATTTAGATTTGCTAGAAAGCAGAAAATCGTTGGATTTCTTGCTTTCTAGCTAATCTTTAGATCCTTGGCTCTGCTTTTAAGCAGAGCCTAACCTTCCTTAGGACTGAAGGTTCTATTATTCAGTGCAGATTCAGGTAGCTGACTGCAGATAGATCTCTACGTGAATCTGTGATTTTGTGAGCAACTCAATCTGCCTGCCAGCTTTGCCTGATTTTGGGTAAATGTTGCTCTTTTTAAATAAAAAATTCAATATTTACATACATAGTGTGCTGTGAGTTAATTTTGTGAGTTTGCTTGCAAGCAAATTTTATGTGACAGACTCAGATAGCCGATGGCAGAAAGATAGATCTCTGAATGAATCTGTGATTCTGTGAGCAACTCAAACTGCCTGCCTGCTTTGCCTGATTTTGGGTAAAAGTTGCTCTTTTTTTAATAAAAAATTCAATATTTACATAAATATTTATAATATTTACATATAAGCCATGCGCAGCCAGTCACATGACCAAGCCACACCCACAAATTAGGCCACACCCACAGAACCGGTTGTTAAGAAATTTGAATCCCACCTCTGCTTTGGATGTAGAAATTTTACTAACAGGAAGGGAGAGGGCAGGAATGGAAAAGCCTATTAAAAGGCAACATTTATTACTTAATTTTGAAAATAAAGCCAACTAGAACCTTTGTACTCATCCTCTCACATATCACCTCTCAATTACTGGAAGGATCAAGGACCACATTAAAGATTACAAATCTCTGTTTTGCAGAGATAACTTTTCCATCTGCACATGTTGTAAAGGTGCCCTGTATGCTGGGTACTCAATGAGTATATTCAGAAAACCTGATAGATTTGTTGCTTTTTCCTTCTTCTCTCCCACCCATAGAAAGAAAGGATAGTACTGGTATGAGTGAACTTCCCTTCTTTGTTAACTGTATTTGGTGAGCGGAGAGGAGAGGAAGGAAGGAAGAAGCCAATGTATTGAGAAACGCTGCTTAAAAGCTAGAAGTAGCTAACAAATGAGGAAGGAAAATATTTGGCAAGACAGAAGGCCAGACTTTTCTGGAAACTGCACCCCACCACAACCAGCAGAGACCAGTTTGGGAAAGGCTGCTCTAAGGTTTTGTGAAGCAATACAAAGTAAAATTGTAATATATAAACAATTTTGAGCATGGCTAAACTATACATTGCTCTGAAACCTGTTAAGGCAGTGTGGTAGTGAAGATGCTGTGTTTAAACCAAGGAGATACAGACTAAATTTCCTTTCAGCTATGGGGTTACCTGGTGATAATGTTCTTACTCCAGAATGAAGTAAGAAAAACGTACTGAGACACGTTGATACCACTGTGAGTTCTCAGAGAGCCCCCATTTAGATCGAGTGTGACGTAACTGCAAAAATAAATAATGCAACACCAGCCCTCTGCAGACACTCACCTCTCATGGCTGAATGATACCTGGGCAGGAGTTGGCACCACTACCTGCAAAGGATCGGTTTCTTTCTCACGTCCATGGAGACACACCAGCTGGAACTCTGCTAGCCCAGTGAAGGATACCTCATGCCAGTTCCTAACTGAAAAGTGTAGCAGAAAATAACAAAAACCAGAATGAATTATGAAACAGTGATGATAACTTTTCCATTGAAGGATCTCAATGTCCTAGCCAGCATTTATACAATTAGGTACCAAGGACTTACATGCCTCAAGATATGGATTAATTACATCTGCCTCACTCTCCTCCCTCAACTGTATTTGTTCTCTTTCTTTTAAATTTCACAACAACTTTTGGAAATAGGTCATCCGATTTAGTAAGCTAAATCAATCCAAATACAGAAATTTGGCCGGATTTTTTGCTGACTATATCCACAGTATAGGAACCTGTGGCCCTCCAAGTATTGGTAACTGACCTCTCCTGGCACCCTTCCCAATTTGCTATGTGGGCTACAGATACTAGAAATTGTAGTTTAGTGACACCTGGAAGCCACAGAATCCCTTCATCGTATGTTGACGTCAGAGAATTAGCAGGGGGTGCTCTCTGCCCCTGAAAGTGCTAATCATATGTGATTACGTGCCTAGTCAAGTAATCCGAACTGTTGTGTGTGCTATAGTATGATTGCAGGAGTGGTAATCCCAACACATCAAGAGGACATCAGTCGGTGGCCATAGAGCATATTGCGTTCCATCCATCTGGTGCATATTGAATAGATGGGCACTATGTATGTATGCTGGACATCATATTGTTCAGGGTGTTAACATATAATGGTGATAGACAATTGTTCAGAGTCAGAGCCTAACAGACTCCTTTGAGAGCAATACAAGCAGGGTAAGGTAAAAGAATGCCTTCAGATTTTACTCTTCTAGCTCAGTTTCAAGGCCATTGAAACCGACATTTCCATAGTCGTGTGGTCAGCAAGACATCACAAAGCACAGTTATTATTCCACTCAAGTGGTATCTATTTATCTACTCGCCTTTGCATGCTTTTGAACTGCTAGGTTGGCAGGAGCTGATCCAAGGACAGGCGCTCACCCTGTCACATGGTGCTCAGGTCTCGAACCTTAAGAGACTTTAACCGCTGAGCCACCACGCTGCCCCGTATAAACAGGGAAGCAAACACTAATGCTTTTTCCTCCAACTCACAAGCAAAGGCACTAAAGCTAGTGGACACTCCAACTCCTCCAATTTCCAGTATCTCCACTACTTTTAACACAGGGAAGCAACCTTCTCAGGAATGTAGCTTGGGTGTATGTGCATATAGGTTCACTTGTATATGCAGTGTTAATATTTGCCCAGGGAATCTAAAGTTAGGAGGACTTGGAGTCATTTAAGATAACTGACATCCCAGTCTTCAATAGGACATAGCTTTAAGCCAGGGGTGTCCAACCTTGGCAACTTTAAGACTTGTGGACTACAACTCCCAGAATTCCTCAGCCAGCTTTGCTGGCTGAGGAATTCTGGGAGTTGAAGTCCACAAGTCTTAAAGTTGCCAAGGTTGGACACCCCTGCTTTAAGCAGTAGCTGTAGAAATCTAGGGATTTCATGAATCACATGAAAACTATTCTTGACATTTGTTTGTAAATACTATGCATACCACAGCACTTACACACACACACACACCAATTTTACAGGTTGCCCTTTAAGATATCTCCACTAACTTACCTTCTAGAAGGTCCAAGTAAACTAAGAAAGCGGCATACACCCCTCTGCTATCAGCCGCTTCCAATGACATCATTTTTGTGAACTGAAACAGACAAGGGAAAGCAATAGATGTAAAAGCTATTAACAGAGTTCTTGGAAATTATACTCCAGGCAACGAAACCCAAACAGAGTGGTATCTACAATCCCTGAAAGTATTTTCCCATCAACTGTAGAGGGTTTTCTTTTGGCAGAACTCCAAGAAAAAAACACAACCCAAGTTCTTTCAAAAAATGGGGGAGGGGGGGGGAAAGGCCAGTGAAAATACTTAACGCTAGATGAAGCCTGTTAAAAAGACTTGCAGATTGTGCTTTAAACGCCAAAAAAACTATCCTCCAAAAACTGTAGCCGCAGGGAATAATTTATTGTAGCAGCACCGATGGTTCATAAAACAGATCTAGTTCTGTCTTAAGCTTCTGGGCTGGAACCGATTTATTTCTGTGTTTTGCTTAGTACCTGGCACAAGAAGAGATTATAGATGATTGTGCCAGAATCCAGACATGGAAGGATTGGGCCCAAGGTGGGTGGGTGTCTCTTGTTAACTGGGGATGTGGGCCATTACTGGAACCTAAGCAACATCTGGAGCTCAAAGTCTGAAGCAGAAAACTAGGCAAAAGTATAGTCAGCATATTATTGTTAGAAGGAGGGAGTATTTATGCATGCAGGTAGTTCTCAATTTAGGACTGCAATTGAGCCCAATATTTATGTTGCTAAGTGCAAAAGGTGTTAACCGAGTTTGGCCCATTTTACAACTTCTCTTGCCACAGTTGTTAAGTGAATCACTGCACTTGTTAAATTAGTAACACAGTTGTTAAGTGAATCTGGTTTCCCCGTTCACTTTGCTTTAGAAGGTCGCAGAAAAGGGGGGGGGGTGTCACATGACCCCGGATACTGCAAACATCTGTTCCGATCCAAACCCTTTTCCAATAAAACAAACATGAACCAAAGGGAACAGAAACCTTTTAATGATTCTTACGAATCCCCGGTTAAAAGGCTGCTGCAAACTAATTAACTTTGATAAGCACAAGCCTCGCCAAAACTGTGCACCGCTGCCAAGAATAACAGATAAGAAATATTTTACAACAGTAAAATAGTAAACAGTAAAAAACTTGTACAACAGTACAAGAGTCTTCAAATACCAACTAAGATACTGCAATGTCCACGAGGCTGAGTTTCAAAACATCTTTGCTTCTTGCAAAGAAACATTTGCTTCACAGCTGGCTTTTATCTTCTTGAAGGAGAGGCCGTTACTTTGCAGCCTTACTCCCGAGTCGCTCGTGCTGCTGCAGCTGCTCTTTCCTGCGAGCAGCCCTGCGCGCACACGCACTTGGCACAGGCTCCTTGGGAACCTCCTCATTGCTGCTGCCAGCCTCCACAATCTCTGAAGGCAGCAGTCCACTCCCTAATGGTCCTGGCCCCTCATCTGAGTCCTCGCTCTCCTCAGCCGTCCGCACCTGCGGCTGGCTAACCACAACACCATCATAAACGTGAGTCAGTTGTCAAGCAGCCGAATGTAAATCACGTGACCATGGGGATGCTGTTGTAACTGTGAAACATGGTCGTAAGTCCCTTTTTTCAGTGCCGTTGTAACTTTGAATGGTCACTAGATAAACTGTTGTAAGTTGAGGACTACCTATATTTGCTGCCTTGAGCAACAAAGGCAGAATAAAAATCTTAATAAATGTTAAATGTCAAAGTAGTTAAACTAGTAATACCATCATACTTTTCTTGTTGCTCGTGCCAATAGGGGATAGAGAAATGAGCATTTTATTACTGTTGTTGATGTTCATGATGACGACATCCAGAGATTTCCCACCAGCTGCCCATCAGAGAGGCCAAGATTGTCAAATCTTATTTTCTTTTGACATGCGTGCATAATTTAAAATAAATTGCCAGATTCAGATCCAGCCTATCCTGATTGTACATGAATAGATAACAGCCTTGCTAAGATGCTATGGCAAATTTCACTCCCATCTGGCAGTTTAAAGCTTCAGCCAATTTTTAAAAGATAACATTCTTCTTTATCTTCAAATGTTAAAGTCTAAAAGCAATTGTATTATAAAGCTTTTATTTTATAAGCTTGAACAGACTAATGCATTCCTACCCCTCAGATTATTTGTGTTATAAAAACAGCAAAATAAGTGCCCTTTCAACAAAGACCTAAGAAGGGGTTATTATGGTAATACAGCAGATCATGGGAGTTCTACATTCTGTGAAAAATCTGCTTGTTAATCTAAATTTATAAACAGAAGTATTGTCAAGGGCTCTGAATTTACATGTACCTAACCTCAAAAAAAATCTGTTAATCTGAATTCATAAAAAGAACCATTGTCAAGGGTTCTGAACTTACATATGCATAACCGTACAAACTTGCTAGAAATAAATGTTTTTTTCAATTTATAGTTTTATTGAAGAATTTTTAACAGTAAAAACCACAAAAGAAAATAGAGAAAAACAGTACAAAAAAGAAAATAAATTATAAGGAAGCAGCTTCTGATCTTCTTAACAGCTATAAATGCATTTATATTTTGCCCCCTCTCTCTAAAATTACATCATAATTTCCTTCTTTCCATAAGCTACCCTTCTAATCTTCAGACCATCCCATTTTTCTTTTTTTCAGAAAAAAATCCATAAAGGATTTGTAATCACTAGTAAATGTAGTTGTTGATCGCTCTCAAATCAAACAAGTTAATTTTGCCATCTCTGCTAATTATGTCATTTTCACCAACCACTCTCCATTCTGGATATTTCAGAGTCTTTTCAATTTTGCATATATTGCATCAGTATCATATACTATATAAATATAATCTTCTCTGGCTCTTTTTTTAATTTACTGTCCATTAAACCCAGCATGAAAAGTTCAAGTCTCAATTGAATGTTGATCTTTAAAATTCTTTGTATCAATATATATCTTTGAACCCAGAAATTTCTGCCTTTTTTTAACCAGTAGAGCAGGCATGACAAAATGACTTTTCATGTTGGAAATATCTTTATACGTTCTAGATTCTAGATTATTTTTCTGGAATCAGAAAGAAAGTCAGGGTTAGATCCAAAACGAGTACATGTTTATTCCATCCTTCCCCTGAACAAGAATTGGAACTACTAATGGTCAAGGCAAATTGGTAGTAGATAAGTCACTGGATTCCCAGGAGGGCTGGATTTAGACCTCTTGTGGGCGCAAAGGGACTCCAAACTAATGATGCATTTGATCCCTCCTATGGGCTCAGCCTGGTCATCTTCTACAAGTACATTGTTTTATAAAAGTTCTCTTTTAAAAGATGATGATGATGTTACCTATTCAATTGTGTCCAATTTTTGGTGATCCTACGGACCAGCTCTCTCCACATTTTCTGATCTTGTATGTCTTGTTTCAATTTGGGCTCCATTTTGATAGGATTTAGCCAATGTATATTTGTGTGGAATTGTTTCCATTCTGAAGATAACTGCCTTTTCCAGTGAGATTTGTTAATTTCCTATTACAGTTATCTGTGTTTTTTGTGAAGTGCACATTGATTTTATCCATTTGATAAAATTATCATCAAAGTCCATATCCTCCAAAATTTTAAACAAGAAAGTCCTGTTCAAATTGTCAAAAATAATTGGTTTTTTTTTGTAATTTATGAACTCATCTAAACTAGACTTGAAGCTCTCAAATAACTCTGGCAGCTTACAATGAAAAAAAAATCCCATTATATAAAAGATTATAACTGACCAGAAACAAAATACCAGAAGAAAACCAAAATAAACCAGACCAAAGCAACATAAAGTGTAGGGAAGGGATGTGTCCGTAGTCACTATGTCACCAAAATCTGGGAAAACAATCTGGACTTCATTAATTTCCTGAAGATCATAATGATGGGAGTTATCCAACGGGGATGGGACCATTCTGAGAAGAAAGAGATTGCAACAAAGAGAAGAAGTTATCCCTAAAGATGCCCTTGGGAAGTAATGAAAACCCTTTGACCTGGATTGAATGGGCTACTCGAAAAAGAGGGCCTTCTAGAAGAGATCCATATCATGTCATTATAGTGAGGGGATGAGAATACTTTCACGGTTTTTGTCCTACTAAGTCCTCTGCTTGAGATCAGCATTTCTTCTTCTTCATTCTTACATGCACCTGAAATGCAAGCCTTCTGTTAACCAATTCCATTGATTTCTTCTTATGGAACAACCAATTTTCACAACAAAAAATCATTCTATTTGTTCAGACTGGCAACTGGTAAATAGTTCCTTTAAAAAAAATGCTCCCGAATCCTTTTCTCCCCTTTTAATATCTTCTTCCTTAATTCTTATACATCATCTTCGTGACAATAAATTACAGATAGGTTTATTGGCACATGGCCATGATACAGCACATCAGTTCCTTTTCCACTCCTCCAGGCTTGGTCACATTTAACACATGGTCAAGTACCAATTTTGGGGACCTGTTTTCCACTTTACTTTAGATATGTGCTATCACTTCAGGAGGTATAACATGGCTGGACAAAGATTACAGTCTTTAAAATATAATATTTGTCCTCAGGAATAATGTGTGGTGTGGTCAAATTCTTCCAGTTCCAAAATCCATCTCTGCACATTTATTCATTTATAGTTCCTTTTTGCTGGAGACTGAGAAACATTTCAAGTTTGCATTGATCAAGTGTCCAACGTAAAACAGGCTATTTTTTCATTTAGTTTATGTTTTAAACTTTCGTGCAGGATTCTACATACACACCATTCCTCATCCTAAGACAGTATATTATTGGTTACACCTTTTACTTTTACTTCTTCAAGGTGGCTTAAGAAATTATTACTCATGAAAGACAAAAACAGCTCACCTTGTTCAACACTATATATTTCTACATTTTATTTTAGCATCCTTGGAGTTGTCGAGTTGCAACTCTGGGCTTTGAACGAATGGTGCATTTCCTAGGAATTTAACGAGATCCCTACTTTGCTACAGATACCAGTAGATGAGCAAACCAGGTATCAGAAGGGAGATTTTCTGTTCCCCCGGTTCTTTTTCACTAACCGTAGGATGAGTAGCCAGCCAATCCTCTCGAAGACCCCATTTCCCGGACTTTGGGGCTTCCTCCTCCTGCCCAAAAGACCCGGAGCATCCAGCGACCGAACCTCCCTCCTCATTTGCCCCGTCTCCGCAGGCGCTCTCCGACTTTTCCATTCCAAATTCGCGTGTTATTCAGCTTCGTTCCGGTGGTTGGTGTCTCAACAAAATAGTTCCTCCGCCAAACTTTTAAACGACCTTCAGGGTTCCGCTTTTCAGCAAGTAAACCTGTCGTTCCTAAGAATATTTGCTTTCTTATTTTCTCATTTTTTAATTGAAGATTCAGATTTTTTTTTTAAAAAACCCTTCTTTAGCAGCACTTGATTTGTAAGACACTCATATTTTTGAGACGAGAACGAGATAAATATATGTACCTCAAACTCATTACTATTAGAAATCTAGCACTAAATTCTCTTACAATCCATTAAATTACTGTGCTGGTTATATATTAAACAGCATGATGTGGCTTCTCAAGCAACTAAATTTAATTGTCCTTATTGGTAGATGTCAATATTTCTGTCTATTTACTTGAGACTACTAGTAATGTAAAAAGATAATGAAAAAACCCATAAACCTACTGGTGAAAATATTGATATTATTTCAAGATTGATAGGGGGATAGCTGTGTTAATACCTTTAAGGTATTTCAAATGAATAGTTGAATTGCTTGGAAGGATTTTGTGGAAAGGAAAATGTCAGTTATCGTATAATAAATAAATAATGGTTATCATATGATGAGAAAGATTTTAACTTTTATGACTTTCAGTTTTATCATTGTGCAAAATATTTTAAAAAAACTCTTGGAGTTACAAAACTTTTGCTATTATTATCCTTATAACATTTCTATCATTGAATCTAAATTGTATTTTTCTTCAATAGAAATTGGAAGATTATATCTGTCTGGAAACAATTTGGGATCTTCTCTGAGTTCAACTGGAGGAAAAAAGTAATAAAGAACATCTGTTCATTCTTTCATTACTTCTTTTATAAGAATGGAAACTGAGTGTTCAGTTATTTTGATTTTGTGTTACAAGTATGAAATTCTAGAAGTGTAGTCTTATTAATTGCTTCCTAAAATTATTCCTATCAATGGAAAGGCTGAAAAGACTGTGTTGTGCTTTCAGAGAATATTAATTGAAAATATAATTTGAGAAAGATAGCATCTTACATTCTACTTGGTGTAAAATGGGTCCTTCATATATTTAAATGCACTGCTACTTGCAGGAACTATTATATTTGAGATGTTTAGTGATCTGAATTTCAGTGTCTTAACAATTTGGCTGGACCTTGTTAAGCTATGATAAGATTAATTTTAGCTTAATATGTAATGCGGATACAAGAATTATGTATAAGCCATGATTTTATAATTTAACACATAGAAATCAAGCCATTTGTGCCTTAGTCAATATATTATGATTAAGTGAACCGTGACTTAAGATCTTTTTTAGGGATAAAGGGTAAAGTATAAATTCTTTAAAAAAGGTTTTGCAAGGTACATAAGATGATATTGTAGCATTGTATTAGAAATAGAAAATTAAAATGGTTTAAGAGTTGATAAGAGATTAAAATGTTGAAATGTTTAGTAATGATTGATTTTAAATTTAATAATATTAAAGGGAAGGTTTAGAAGATTGAGTTTTAATTAAAGAGTTTAATAAGATTATGATATTGATGTTATTATAAAATTTTTATTATAGCATTTGTTTTTGGAAAAGACAATGGGAATGTTATAAGATTCAACATTTAGATTTACTGTTTAACTATGTATTTAATTATTTTGGATTTACTATTTAGATAGAATGTACCAAGCAGAATCGGATTGGGTACTGGGTGTTATTTTAAATGTTAATTTGATTAATTTAGAGGGGAGACAGAAAGGCATCATACTCTGTTTAGTGATTTCAGGAGAAATTCTCTTTTTTTTATTTTATTATAACGGACAATAAAGAATGGACAAAAGATACAAATGTAATGATTCAAATTAAGATGGATTAATTAAGATAGAATTAAGAAGAGTGAAATGTGTGGAGAAGTTAATATAGAAGATTTAGAATGGTAGATAAAATAAGTAATGATATGTAAGATGAGCATGAATATAATTGAAGTTCATGAAGAGAGAGATATCTGGGGCCAAGTTACTTTCCTAAAAGATTTTTTTTTTGTTTTTCTTTTATGTTATATGTGTTGTGTGTTTATGTTTTTGGGAGAATTAGTGGAACCTTGCAGAAGTATAGAATGGGAATGATGGTGGTCAAGTCAGAAAGAAATAGATGAAACAATAATAATGAAACTGAATAAGAGTAAAGAGAGGTAAAGAGAAACTGGATAAGAGGTTTTTGTATGCTTTATGGAAATGGTTTAAAATAGAATTAAGGTTTTATCTGACTTGTTAAATTTATAATGGAAAAAGGTTTAAGTATGTAATGGTTAATGATGATTTGTTTTTGAAAAAATTAATAAAACTTGTTTTTTAAAAAAATATTTTTTTATGAGCTCTGTTCATTTTCTATACCGTGTGTACTGTATTTTAAATTATATTTACTTGAGAACTCAGGCTTAATGGCAGTGCTAAAATTTGCTGCAGTGGGACCCAATATCAATTAACAACAATAGCAATAGCACTTGGACTTCTATACTGCTTCATTGTGCTTTACAGCTCTTTCTAAGCGGTTTACAGAGTCAGCATATTGCCCCCAACAATCTGAGTCCTCATTTTACCAACCTTGGAAAGATGGAAGGCTGAGTCAACCTTGAGCCAGTCAGGATTGAACTCTTGGAGTGAGCAGTGTAGCCTGCAGAACTGCATTCTAACCACTGTGCCACCACAGCTGCGCTTCAAACTAGTTATTTGAGGATAAAAGGGGTGCAATATAATAAAATCTATACTACCTATGCTGCTGTAACATTGGTAACTGTCCACAATACATCAATGTTCTGGAACTTGTTCTTATTAGTTTTAACTGGTGAGAAATATAAGAGATCATATTGTCAATGTAATCTTTTTGTATGTAATTTTTTTTGAACTTTATATAAATTAGAAAAAATCCTCATATTAAACATCTACTGAGAATACTGATTTAAAATTGTCTGGATATGTCTTTAGTTCCCACCCTATTCTTCGCCTGGCAGACAGTATCGATTTTTAAGATTGTTCCAGTTGTCATACTATGCCATATGAATGATTTTCTTCTTTGATTTATTTATTTATTCTAAAAATAAATAAATAACCTTTTAATTTGCTGTTCTTGGTTCATTTGCTTGAATTATGCAAAGGTAGATGTTGTCCAGTTGCTGTTAACATAACTGACTTGGGTGGTAACCCATTTCTGCTTCAGTCAAATGTCAATGTGCCCTTGGATCCAATTAAATTTTATAGGCTGTCTAAATGCACATCCTGGAGCTGTATCCTGGAGATTTTGTCAGTGATCAATTCTACTGGATGCACGGGATTGCTTTGTTGTTGTTGTTAGTTGTGAAGTCATGTCTGTCCCATTGCGACCCCATGGACAACGTTCCTCCAGGCCTTCCTGTCCTCTACCCTCTTCTGGGGTCCATTTAAACTCACGCCTACTGCTTCAGTGACTCCATCCAGCCACCTCATTCTCTGTTGTCTCCTTTTATTTGGGATTGCTAGGAGATGGTTAAGTGAGTTTCTAAATTCTGAGAAGACTTCATCAAGTGGAATAGCATTATTCCTAGGTGAGCATTGTCATTCCTGTGTTGCATACTACTGAGTAATGAGAAGATTGGGAACCGCAGTTGTCTAGGATTCAATTTCCTGTGAACCGGGTCACAGATGTTTTCCAGGCTGAGAAGAAGACGAGGGACTACTTGCAGAAGTGCACAAAAACTCTGGATTATCCTTCTGTTTCCCTTTCCCACTTCAGATGAAAGCGTATGAAATGTAAATCCTTGGCAAAGAAAGGGTAATTGTGAATATTTCATTCTCTCTTTGTACATTTGTATTAAATACTAACAACATTGCATTAGAAATATATCAGTGGGACTGTGTCCCCTCCCATATTTTTGAATTTAAAAAAGCATTATAATTCAAGACCACCACTGTACCATCTGACCTTTATGGAATGAAATATATACATAAACGAATACATAAAAACTTCAGGACTTCCAAAAGCGCTTTTTTTAAAAAAAAATATTTATTTATTTATTTTTGTCAATTGCTTACAAGATAATAGATATAAGTAAAAACATAGTTATGAATACATGGATACATATAAGAAAAATAAAAAAATATAAAAGAAACAATAGGACAGGGACGGTAGGCACATTGGTGCTCTTAGGAAAGGGGCGAGGTCAATAGTAGACAGTCTATGGTTAAAGTTTTTGGGGTTTGGGGAAAAAACCACAGAGTCAGATAGAATATTCCAGACATTGACCACTCTGTTGCTGAAGTCGTATTTCCTGCAATCAAGTTTGGTGCGATTAACCTTGAGTTTGTATCTATTGTTTGCTCTTGTATTGTTATGGTTGAAGCTGAAGTATTCATTGACAGGACATTGCAATGTATGATTTTATATACTATACTTAGATCGGACCGAAGGCGGCGTAGTTCTAGCTTTTCCAGGTCTAGAATTTCAAGTCTGGTGCCATAAGGTATTCTGCAACGAGTAGAGGAGTGGAGAACTCTTCTTGTGAAATATTTCTGGACTTTCTCAACTGTGCTAATATCAGATAAGTAATGTGGGTTCCAGACTGATGAGCTGTATTCGAGTATTGGTCTAGCAAATATTTTGTATGCTCTAGTTAGTAGTGTGATATTACCAGAGAAAAAGCTACGTAAGATTAGGTTAATAATGCCTTTTTGGCTATGTAGTTACAGTGAGATCTAGCACTTAGATCATTAGAGATGAGTACTCCAAGGTCCTTGACAGAGTTTGGATCATCAACAAGGTCTTGACTATTCAGCCTGTATTTTATTTTCTGATTTTTTTTTTGCCAATATGTAGGACAGAGCATTTATTTGTTGAGATTTGAAGTTGCCATTTGTTTGACCATTCTGATCCATAGTCAAAGGTCTTTTTGAAGGGTAGCAGTATTGTCTGTGGTGTTGAATAGCTTTACATCATCAGCGAAGAGAACGGAGTTGCTCTTGATATGATCACAGAGATCTTTTGATATGATGCACCAATCTGCTAGCCAGATGCCTGGGATGGTCCATTTCTTCCTTGTTATTGGTCGGTTCCGATTAGCATTATTCCCGGGACCTTGGGGCGATTGCAGAGAGAAAGGAAAGGAAGAACGAGAAAGCACGCATTGTTTGTTTTGATTTGCGTCAAGAGTTAGCGAGGAGCTCAGGATTGGCTGCAGGTTTGCCGCCGCCACCAATCCGCCGTTGCCAAAAGCAGAACTCCCCCCCCGCCCCCTCCTCTAGCAAATAATGAAAAGAAAGGGGCGGGGGGGAAGCGTGTCTTAGTTGGGGCGGCTCTCCCGCCCGCTCGCCTCTCTTCCCCGTGCAGCCGGACCTGCAGGTACGCCGGGAGCTCTTTGCGGAGCTTTGCTTCTCCTGTCGCCGTGGCCGCCGGTCCGCAAGAAGCGGCTTCTCTCTCGCCCTGTCCGAAGGTGCGATTCCCCGCGAAAAATGGCTGCGATCCCGGCTTGCGCCGCCGCCGCCGCTTCCTTGCGCCGCCGGCTCCTGGTCTTGCTTTTGCTTCATTGCCCTTTCGCGCTCTGGCTGAAGGGGAACGGCTGTGTCGCCGACACACCGGAGGAAGCGGCGGCGGCGGCGATGCCCAGCTCGCCCCCTCTGCCGGAATCCGCCTTGCAGAAGCCCACCGTCTTCATGGCCATCCTCGCCAGGAACGCTGCCCGCTCCTTGCCCCATTTCCTCGGCTGTCTGGAGAGGCTACGGTACCCGAAGCGCCGGATCGCCATCTGGTAAGGTTGCCCAAAAAAGCGCCGCCGGAGAAGAATCGGATGGGGATTCGGTGGAGATCACGGGCGAGCGGGGGGGAGGTTTGAAAACATAGCGGGGGGATCCTTCCCCCAAGTTCTTTCCAGATACTTGGTCAAAAGGTGCAAGGGAGACTGACCGGTAGCCAGGAACTGATGCTGCGGGTGTGGTGGTTGCTAACTGATGCGGGTGGGTGGGAAGAGACTTCGTCTACTGCTTGAAAGTAGAAGTAGCCTATCTCTTGCTCAGAATCTTCAAATTAAGTTTTTAAGGGCACAGAGTTACAATGAGATAATAATGATCCCGAACAGTATGGTGGCAGGAAGGATAAGGTAACATCCATGGTTTAAATGAAAAAAAATGTCAAAATAATAGGTTAAGTGTAAATGAAGGGAGGAGATAAGGCAGATGTATGAATGCTTTTATAATCTTTTAGATTCCTGCTTTTTATATAGTGGCTGTTCCCCTACAATGTTGTATGTATGTATATTTCTCTCTCTCTCTCTCTCTCTCTCTAATTTTAGAGAACATGATAGGGGGGTCAGCCAATAGCGTATGTATGTATGTGTATATGTATGTATGTATGTATGTATGTGTATATGTATATAATGTATATGTATATAATGTATATGTATAATGTATATGTATGGTATTCAGCTTTGTTCGGGTATTTTCCCACGTCATTATAGTTGTGCTTTTAAAATTGTAGCCGTTTCAGCAGAATCTCATCTGCCATCATCAGGCTTCTGTATTGGGTTCATATGTGAGACGAACCCAATACAGAAGCCCGATGATGGCAGATGAGATTCTGCCGAAACGGCTACATACATACATACATACATACATTATATTGGGAGAGGACTGTGATGTCAGTTTATAGCTGATTTAAGGAGACCAGATGGGAATGTCTTGTATGACTGGAGAGAAGAAATGATCTCTTCAACCTGCGCCCCCCTCCCCTTTCCCAAACATGACATTAAGTTATGACTGCCTGCATTTGAAATCCCCCAGGAGAGGTATTTGTAAAGGCTGGAGGAGCGTCTGGGGGAGTTGTTGAAAGGCAGTTTGGCAGCCTTTGGATAAAAATTGCTGCTGAATCCAGCTACTCAGGAATGATAATACAGGGAATTATTCCCTTAGGGGAAATACCTGGCTAGATCTGCTCTTGTTTTAGGCTTTCCCAGTTACTGCTTTATGAAGAGATTTCAATTTAATGGTGTACATGCACATATACTACAAAAAGAAACGTAGGAGCCTTTAAGTTTTCTGCTTTGTCAGCTCCAAATACTGTATAGGTTTATATAATAATATGAAGAATACCTTCTTGGTGATGCAGGATCAGAAATCCCTGGGGGAAGAGCTCAAGTCCTAAGCTGGAACATTAGGAACAATATATTGAAGTTGTCTATTCTGCCCTCAGCTGAGAGGATGTAGTAACACAAACCAACCCTCTTTTCTCATTTGTTTCATAATCTAACCACTCATTAGATTATTGGGTTAGCGGAATAACCTCCCCTTGACTTCAGGCGTCCCAAGTCCAAATGTTTGAATGGAGTAGAATTCTTTCTAACAGAGAGAAGGAAGTCAGAAACTGTTTAATTGCTCCTCTCCTTTCTGAGAGGCAAACTGATTTTATTTATTCTACTCTTCCTTTGTTTCCTTGTTGTGAACCAGAGCTATAATTCTTAATCCTGTGATGGTTGAATGGAACCAACATGTGCCACTGCAGACCACTGTAGAGTTCAGTGGTGCACCATCATTTGTATATGCTAGGGCAGGAGTCTCCAATCTTGGCCACTTTAAGACTTGTAGACTTCAACTCCCAGAATTCTTCAGCCAGCTTTGAAGTCCACAAGTCTTAAAGTGGCCAAGGTTGGAGACCCCACATGATTTAAGTCAAAGTGGACATCTCTTTTAGCGTGATGACTGCAGGTTTTAATGACTTGAGATATGGAGATAATTCCTGAGATTAAGGAGTTTTCACTTTAGCAAGACTATACCTCAAAAAGGGAAAAAACTGGAAAGCAATAAAAGAGGCTCAATTTTATTTGTACTCAGTCGTTATTAAAAATGTTTTACAGTCTTGGAAAAGGGTTCTGGGAGTCTGTAAAATAGCCGGTATCTGGAGTTTTAATAGTCCCATTTAGTATTTCATTCTTTGTACTGTGTGCTTTTGCCTTCTAAATCAAGAGTCACGTTGCATATGCTCGGTTATGCTTCAGTCTTTATTTTTTGCTTTACATATTCAGAAAAGCTCTCAGAAGGCTTTTATAGATGAAAATGATAATCCTATTTCATCATGCTACATGACATTGAGAAGGCAGTTGTAGCTAAGTGAGAGAGCAAAGCTTAGATACAAAGGAAGTTTGTTAAATTCCAGGTAGTTTGGATTAGGATTAGCAAAAACTAATGTGAGAAAGAAACCCTGGAGAACTCCTAACCTCTGAGCTAGGTGCAGCACTGTTTTAACTCATTATAACACACTTCCCCATGTTTTTGTGATGGACTGCTTTGCTATCTTTTTTAGATAACTGCAAATCATTTCTAAGCAAAGAGTTCAGTTAAGTATAATTTAATATGTACTGGCTCAGGAAATATAACTACAGGTGATGGCAACATAGGTACAGCCTAGAATAGTTTAGCCTTCAGCAAACCACTAACCAGACAAGATTCAGTAGTTGTTGGCCCTTGTAATAAACCTATTCCTTAAAAATTAAACTTTCCCAGCCTGGCCTCCATTTAAATATGTGGATTTTGAATTCTCAGAATTGTCAACATGGCCATTATTGGATAAGGAATTCTGAGTGGAAGTCCACACATAGCATGAGAAACTGAGATGGGGTGGCTGAACCGTATTTATGATACCAAAGTTGGCTATTGGCTGGGGTAGAGCATATGGCTTGTGGCTCCTTGGCAGAAGTCTCTAATCAGGATTTAAATTATTTTTTATATGTCCAGGATTTTATATATCGTGTAACAGATAATGTGCAGCCTTTTTTTTCTTCCTAGCATTGCCCCACAAAGGGAAATTTGGTCGATCTGAAAAAAGCAGAAGGGTCTGCTTTTTTCAGATCAACCAAAGGTTGAACCATTTGGTGGTGACAAGAATTGACTGACAGGCCTGAATGTCATGGGAATGTCAGATAGAGAAAGTGGTCCAAAATCATCCAGGCAGCTTTCATGGCTAAGGCAGGGCTAGAACTCAGTCTCCTAGTTTCTAGCCTGGCCTATAACCATTGCATAAAAACTGGCTCTTTGGAAACATAACTTGAAGTTGAATTCAAGTAAGGGAAATGAATATCTACCCCAGTAGCCTTTTGTTAGAAAGGACATTGAATACATATTTTCTCAATTTAATATAATTGATATGGGACCACAATAATGGTTGCAGGTTGATAGAATCCAAACTGAAAAGCAAAAATGTTTATGGTTTTTCTGCTTTTAAAAAACATTTGTGTCCCTGTTTTAAGATGGAAAGATGCTTATTAACTTCAACAAATGATTTTGTATTGAAGATTTGGGAAGAAAGAACAAGGGTTTTTTTAAGTCACTTTCCAAATATAATTACATTCTTTTGCTAAAAGTATGAGCAACACTTTAGGAATCTGAAAACTCTTCTCTAAGGACTTGTGAGTATGTCAGAAAATCACCAATGGCATACTATAATTATCCACTGACATCAGCTTTCTTGCCATTAAGTCGCTTGTAACAATATTCTCTACTCTTTAGATAAACTTTGAACTAATGGAATTTAAAAGATTGTACTGACAGATATCCAGGTTGTAATTCAGGAAGTTACCAAGAGGGAAAGTTAAATTCCTTTCAAACATCAGATATTGCCTTATGCACAGCTATGGTTCTAATAGTACACATGGAAGCATAATTCAATTGAGTTACCTTGTTTTGTTTCAGGGTTTTGTATCAATTAGCCAAGTGTTTAATTGTTGGAAATAGTGGTGTGTGTACAGATTTTTAAAGGTGTAGATGACAAGACTGAGATGCTTGTGTATATTCCAATGGTAGACAAATCAAAAGGAATGATTTAAAAGACCATAGATAAAAGCATTTTTTCCTGAGAAGAAAGATTTAAATAATTTAGAATTTACCTTCACAAATAAAAGCGACATCCTGTGCTGTTTTCTGCATGCCTCCTTTATTTTCTAAATTAAAACTATAAGTAATTCCACTGTATAGGTAGTCCTTGCCTTATGACCCTTCTTTGAGTGACTGTTTGAAGTTGCAAGAACACTGAAAAAAGTGATTTATGGCCAGTCCTCATTCTTATAACTGTTGCAGCATCCCTACAGTCATGTGATCAAAATGTGGACACTTGGTGCCCAGCCTGTATTTATGATGGTTGCAGCATCCTGCGGGCATGTGATTACCATTTGTGACTTTCTCGGTTGGCTTCCAACAAGCAAAATCAACGGCAGAAGCTAGATTCACTTAACATCCTCATGATTCACTTAACAACTGTAGTGTGTCAGGACTCCAACAAATCCACTCCCATTCAAATCATAAGTCTCTAGAAACATCTCAGAGGAAAGAAAATTGATTTATTAGAAGTGCCATGTTGGTGTTAGCTGGATGAGCGGATATTAAAATACACCATTCATTTCCCCCTTGACCCTGGTCTTCCCCCGGATGTGTATTTTCCAATGGAACTCATCCATCCCCAAGAGTCATCAATCATGCTTTCCAGTAATATCCTTGCGCTCCGACAACTTTGAGCTGCCAGGGTGATTATCTAGGCACTTAAGGAATGCACTGTTTTCCCCTACTCCTTTTTTTCTGGCAGCTAAAAAGACAATAAAGTACAATAGAGGAATTTATAAGAATGTCATGAAGAAACTGGAGGAGAGACATTACCCCCCTTTCACTATAGCTCTGTAACTTGTGTTCCCTACTGAACAATTTTAAAAAAAATCTTCTAAAACAATAGTGGCAACTCAGAATAGATTTGAAGTTGAAGCAGTATTTTGAA